ACGTATTCTTTTTCACCAGTTCAGTTGGGCGCCAATGATTTGCTTGACCTTGGTTTGTCGGTCCAAACAGGAATCTTTATTTACGGTTGATGGATAGCTCGTTTCCAATGGATGGTGGCAAGAAAGTGGCTGAGTTACGTGTAATGATTTTGTATTACCGGCTTATGGTGACTCAATTGCTGTCAAATGAATAGTCCAGATTTGATGCTCACAACTTTTCTATTCTACGCAACAACATGGCTGGGGATTTGCCGGAAGGAATGTGACGGCACCTTTTGCCTCTATTAATTTCCACTGAGGGGTGAGTATCGACTCCACGAATGTCGCCAGCTTTTCATACATTTTTTATTGAAAAAAGCACCGCAAGCGAAAATTTGTAATAAAAAATCGCGCGATATCCTATTAATACTTCGATATATAATGAGAACTTTTAACTGCTCAGTTATTTCCACAATTAATTATCCCACATAACATTCTGTACTCCGTGTAAACATATTCAATATTTATTCCATTCAGATTGAGTGGCAATACCGCACATCAGCAGGTGAATTTAAGCTGGCAACAAACCACCATTTACATGGAAGACGTATGTATCCAATCGTACCTCCCAAATCCTGGAATATCTTCCAACCGGTACATAGCTACAATCACCTATCCACATCTGACACATAACGAAGTTCAATATGCAAAAATTCGTCTTATCAACTCAGCGCAATCACGCCATTTTCCGAGCGAGAAAAGCGCTTTGCAAGATAAAAACACTGCTAACACTGAATTCGCAAACGGACGTGTTTTTTTGCGGTCCCCGAAAAACTCGCTAAAAGTGTGTATTATCAGCGGTTCGCGGCATCTTGTGATTGTTTGGGTACTGTCCAGCCTTGTGGCCTGCTGTGTCCTATTTCTACAGACGTCTCCAGAATAGAAAAAAGGAAATTTCTTAAATTTTTTTAGNTCCAGCATAGAAAAAAGGAAATTTCTTAAATTTCTTTAAATTTGCATATTTGCATACGGCGCGAAGGAAAAATATTTAGAAAAACTAAGAGCAGATAAAACAACTATTAAGAGCAGCGTATTTTAAACAGTTATCATCGAAAAACTACATTAACAACATTTAAAAACTGCATTACCAACGTAGATTTGAGGCTGCCACTCAGCAAAGTCAAACCGGTTAGAGCATTTGTAGAAATGCCACTTGAGAAATATACGTGTGGTGCTTGCGCCAATGCAATTAAAGAAAATAAAACTCTCGTTGTGTGCAGACGTGTTTTCTTTTTGCTCCGATATTTTATTTATTCTTTCGTAATGGCCAACTGCTGTGGCTAATGTAATAAAGCATTTTTCGAGATCTAACGCGAATTTGGTGCCGTGTAATGGTTTTTGCCGGAAAACATTCCATCGTGCGTGTTGTAAAGGCATATCTGAATACGACATGAACTTGGTTAAAACTAACCGGCATTTAATTTACCTCTGTGAAGACTGTGTTGTCATGCCGGGGAAACTTTGCAAAGTTCTCGACGAGGTCATGGGGATCCANTCCAGTATACTGTGCACAGTCTGTAACAGGTGGCTACACCAAAAGTGTTCAGACATCAACACTAAAGACTTCAAGAGAATTGCAACTGAAATCAAGAAAAATAAATTCAAATGGTGCTGTAACCAATGTAAACTGGAGGCAAGCATAATTGTTTCTGATGATCTAGAAGACGATAACCTTAGTGATGACCCTATTACATCAAAATTGGAGGGCCTATTCAACAAGTACTTTACACCGTTTAAGAATAATATACATATACANCCTATGTCAATTTTAAGCTTGGCGTCAGCGAGTTCGATTGCGAAAATCTAGTGAGACCAGAGTTGTGGCCAGCTAATGTTTCTGTTCGGCCGTTCCATTTTTTCAGAGAGGGACAAAACAAACTCATCCGAATTAGTTCATTTGTCCTCAGATGCGCCTGATCCCGTAGTATTGGATATTAATAAGGTTAGTTGTAATGCATATTTAAATGTTAATAGGCAGATATATAATTATAGCTCTTTGAAGATTTATTTCCAGAATATTTCTGGCCTTCGAACAAATNAAACTCGCCCTCTGTTGATCACTACGCCTTCGGTTGATGATGCAAGAAGATTTCTCAAAATAAAACATACAGACAACATAAATTTTAAACAAGATTTCACTCGGTGCTAGCAGAATCATCTTAACAGCCTTCGGGAAGAGCTCGAGGCTCTTAAAAATAATGTATTTTATTTTATTTATTTATTTTTTACAGTCAGTTAGACTTATATTGCAACAAAANTTATTGTTGAGTCATGGCTAAATGCGGGTTTCTTTGATGAGGAATTTTTTGATTCAAACATTTATAATGTCTTGAGGAAGGACAGAGATGCAGCTAAGACTGGTTGTATGAGAGGCGCNATTAAATACAAAATACAAAATGCTCTACGGAAATTTTTAAATAACATTATTTCTTTATCACTGCAATTATTTTAATCACTATAAACGCATGTAATTTTCTGGAACTTATGTAGACGGTTGGAAAGGCCGAGTTTCCAATCCGCGCTATTCTTTTTGGGTTACTCCATTTATTGATATTTCCTGGGTGGTCGAAAAGGCCGAGTTTCCGATCCACCCAGTCGCGCTTTCGTGACGGTTGGAAAGGCCTAGTTTCCAATCCGCTCGTTTATTGTTTATTATCTAAGGGTCTAGGTAGTCGGAAAGGCCGAGTTTCCGATCCGCCTAGTCTCGATATCTTGGTGGTTGGAAAGGCCTAGTTTCCAATCCACGCTATTGTTGATACATCACTATCTTGTAGGCTGCGTTCTACAATAGTCAAATAGCAGCCGCTTGAAAAGAGTGATAGTATCACAATTTTTTATAGCCTCTGGTAATTCATTGAAGCACTTTAAGCCTTTATAGAAAATATTTTTTTTTGTTCACTTCTGTTCTATACTTTGGGAGTCTTAGCTGTTATTCTCTCTCAACAAATATGTATGCGTCTCATTTATATATCGGAGATTATCGCTAAGATAATCC